CAGCTATTCCCCATCTCCTATGAAAGGATATGGTTTCCAAGGTCCTTTTATATACTTGACACTGAATTTATGTCTCAGCGTGTGGTAGAATTAAAAGATACTTGGATGTTTTCTGCTATACTTCATCACTATTGTCCATTAGATTACAGCATGGAGAATTAATTGGATACTGCACTTATGAAATAAGGTCTAGCTCATTTGAAGAGTGTTGTATTTTCTCATTTTTATATGTTGGTTTTTACAAAATTTGTCTTGACGTGTTATGCTGCTTCAGTTAAGGTGGTTTTCCTTTCTCTTGTTGTATATAGGTATACTCACACTAATTTTTATTCTAGTATTCTCCTGTACCTCTTTTATTTTTCTGTATTTGTATGGAATGGCTACTCTTAAATCCAAATTTATTTATCATAGACAAGTACAAGCAGTGACAATTTCATTATGTCTTCTAGTGTGATTTTGTTACTGCATTTTTTGATTGAAGTATGTATTATTTTACTATAAATTATTTTTTCTCCTATATATCACAGTTAAGGAATATATATGCATATGTAATGTGTATATGTAGATTATATTATTTTAAATTTCTTTCGGGATAAGAATGGGGATATTACAAAAATATTTATTAAAAAAAGTAGACATTGACCTGATAATGTTAGGAACCATTGCTTTAAACATATTAAAACGTATTTGTTTTACAGTCAGAATCTGATCAACCAAATGCCTGAGGCCTTTGGGTCTGATTCTACTGGCTAGAGTTCACGGTGCCCTATGTTCTTTTGTCTTTTATGATTTTTCTTTTTAAACCAGTCATACTTCTTGGACTTTTATCTATAGGAATTCTTTGACTCCTGGCTTGAAAGGCGAATTTTTTGCAGAGTGTTTTTGTGTTTGCTTTGTCATGTGCCAACTGAGAACCATTTTATAATACTCAGCTTAGGCTGTATCACTGCTTGAGCTGCAACACCAAACACAGTCTGGGTGGTGGTTATTAGTTCTCAGGGGAGATTTGTTTTCTCTTCCTCCCAGTGCCAGATTGGGGGTAGAAAAGTTTCCATATGCCCTCCCCTCTGCAGGGCAAGTTTATTTTTCATTTATTTACATTGGGAGTGCAGTTTGGGGAGGTTCTAGCTCTGTGGGGCATGATTCCTTATTAGACTCCCAACCGCTGGGCAGATCCTAGGTGTTTCCTGACTCCTCTGCTCCACCATCCCCCTTGCGAGGTCAAACCTCGAGGTTGGCAGTATTCCGTAGACGCCTCCGGGGTGAGAGGCTGTTTCAGTGCTCCACTTACTGCCCTAATTTTCTGCCTTCACTTCATTTTTTACTTCTAACCATCTCTTACTTTCTTGCCTGATCAGTAATGCATTTCAAAAGATGTTTGTAAAATATTTTATCCACTATTTTTAGCTGTTTTCAGTGGTATAGTCAGAGTATTTTTATATGCTACTTTGAAGGGAATATAATTCATTGATTTTTTTGGGTATGATTAATTTTTTTAATTTTCATTTTTGCTAGTGTATTTTAAAAATATGTGTCTTTTTTTTCTCATTTTGTGAATTTCCTGTGCGTGTCTTCAGTCTGTTTTTCTATTGGACACTGGTGATTTTCAAAAGAATACATAGTGTATAGCTCTTGAAAGGGCTGCTTCTCCGCTCTCTGAGGAAGTGAATCCTCTGAGAAGATTTTTTTCCTAAGATACACACGTTTGACTTTGAGGAAGTTAAGTTTGATACTGGCACTGCAGTTCAGTTGTAGTTACTTAATTCTTTTGTGTTCATTGTATGTTCCACCTGAGGTTTCTAACTACCTCCTGCTTGCTAAATCCATCAGCCTACTTTAATACCTCCTCTTATTTGATCACTCTTAGCCACTTTCTCCAATACAAAACTATAGTTTTTTTTAAGCTAGGGAAACGCCTGTTTTCTTGCCTTCCTACTGCTTCTCTGACTATTCCTTCATAGACACCTGACTGATTCTTCCACCTGTAAGTTATTAAATAGAAATATTTCTGAAAATGTTATCTGTAGTCCTCTTCTCACTCTTCACATTTTGCTAGTTGACTTCCGTCCCATGACTTTAACTGCCGTCTATCCTTTCGATGATGTTCCCAAATCTGTGAGTGATCCTTAGCATCTCCTCCAGTTTCAGACCAGCAGTATCTCCAAAGATGCACATCAACATATAGTTACCTTTTAGTTCTCCCATTACCACTTCTTTGAAAACTCCTTATATAGTGATTACTGAAGCTTAGTTAAAAAAGTCAAAAAGATTTCTCAAAAGATGAGTAAATAAAGGGAAATTGAGTTGAGTTTGGTAGTTTTTGCCCAGGAGATGAGGCTTCTGCCATAGGGTTAAATGATAGCTCAGTGGGTGCCTATTAGTCTGCAATATTGACTGGAATGCGTGACAGTAATATCTGATACAAAAAGTATGGTAGGTATTAATTAATGCTTTTATTTCTTTTTGACATTAGTCACCCTATACCTTTCCCACTGTAATAATGCTGCCCTTTGGTACTAAATGCTGTCTTTTTTTACCTTCAGGTTCTAACAGCTCATAACAGTTTTCCTTTTCATTACTTTTATTCTTTTATTACACTATTTAAAAAAATAATGCATGGTGACTGATTTAATAAATGTTTGTTTCATTTACATTATCCAAGATAATACTAATATAGTCGTCACTGGTTGGTGATTGAGAGGGCCAAGTGGGCTGACAGATGTACCTAGAGTATCAGTTAGCATGACCATCTTTGTCATTGCATAAAGACAGAAGGCAAGGAATCTGTCCCCAAATGAACAAGAAGCTGAAAAGACTGTTCATAGGTTTAGAGAAATGACCAAGAGTAAGCTGCTTTTTTTTTGTTTTGCTTTTAAAGGACAAAAAGATAGTGAAGATTTTAATAATACTTTTTCCTTTCCTTTGAGCCAATCAAGTAATGTAACAATAAACACTATGAATGCAATGATGAATGATGGAACTTAAAGGAAAGATCAATCAATATTGGAGGAGATCTGAAAACTAGGGGTCAAAATGGCCTTGAAGAGAGAAATTGAGTTTGAGATTACAGGAAGACATCAAAGTGGGAATATTTTGTGAGTGATCAGCATAAAGAAAATAGTTTGTTTAAAGGAAATGGATCAATTTTTCAAAGGAGAGATAATAGACAAGGGTAAGTTTAGATCTTGGTGAATCCAGGAAGGTACTGAGAATAAGATAGGAAAATAATATCAGAAAGGTAGAAAGAAAACCAATATAATAGAATATCCTGAAAGCTAGATGAAAGAATAGTTTGTAGAATATAGGAACAGTGAGCAAATTTCCCATACATAAAACTATTATACACAGATTAACACCTTCATAATTTTCTTCATCTACAAAATTTTCTGATAGAATTTATTAAAACAAAGTTACTCTGAGACTTATTTGTAGGGATTCCAAGATATAAATCAGAAAAATACTGAACATTTCAACAGTGGATCTACACACAGGAAAAAAATGCATGGCATCTGCAACAAGGTCAATTAATTTACTACCGCCACATCAAAATGCAAGAGTAGGACGTGGTAAAGAACATCCCAGTGGACAAGGAACGATAAATACAAATTAATTATAGGGCATCCATAAGATTTGCAAAATATCGTTATTAGACCATTTAGTTCTTTCTCTTAATGTTCTTGAAAAGGGGGAGATATTTTAAGCTTTTCCTGTTATTTATTTTTGCTCTTCCCCATCTAGTTCATGAGAGCGTCAGTTCTTCTACCATTAATTATCTTACCACTACTGGGTGGAAGTGTTTCAGGAATACAATATCCAAGATTAGGGAAAGAAATTGCACCTACCATTTATATAGAGCTTTGTAGTTTGGCAAGCATTTTAAAATATTTATCTCACTTGAGACCATCAGCAACCATGTCAAGTAAGTGGGAATTATTATCATATTTAAAAAGGATTCCTGGGTAATGAAATTTATTTATGGATGAGGAAACCCAGGAGATTAAGTGATTAATCATGGATCACTGCAGTTACAGGCTGAAATCCTGGGCTCTCCATTATTAGGTTTGTGGTCATGAGCAATGTATATATCAACTTTGAAACTCAATTGTTTTTCAACTGTAAGTTGAAAGATTTTTAAAATATTAAATTATAAAATATATTTAGTATTCTGCTCAGTAATCTTGGTTTCCATTTTCTTTTCCAAGCTAGCCAACTTGCCTTCCTAAACATAACCTCCAGTTTTCTACTGTCTTCTTATTCATGCCATATATTCACCTGGCATGTTTTCTCTTCCATCTGTATAAACCTTACTCATTTTTATTAACTTTTAACTAGCTGTTATAGCCAGACTAACTCCTTTACAGAAACATTCCTGTTGCTCCCAATAATTGTGATCATATCTTCTCTTGAAAAGACAATAACATTTTCTGTTTCTTACAAAATTTATCAAATTCTACATTTTATTAGCCACCAGTATACCGGGAAGAATAGTCATCACCATTTGCCATCTGAGTCCAAAAGACCCTTTTAAAGCGTATTTTAAAGTCATTTTACAAATAATTAACAGATATAAAGATAAAGGGATGTTATAAAAAAAAAACAACTATAGTGGAAATAAATAAGAATTTAAATGTAAAAAGCCCAAATTTTATTCCGTATTTTTCTGGTGTGAAGATATACATATCCCAAATGGGCAGTATCCTTTGAATGCAAGTAATTGCTCATGGATGAGCCTGGAACATATCCATCTTATAAATATTGATCCAGATTTCAAGTATATTTCTAAGAGGTTCCAGCTTTTTTTTTTTTTCCTTGGTTCTTCTACTTGTCTTTGTATCCTCAAAATGCAATACTTTGAAAACTTTCACGGCTCATAATTTTATGGAGGAGAGGGTGGTCATTTTTTTCAGTCCATAATAGCCAAACATTTTCATTTGTAGACGTTGATTAAAATGATCAATTCAATGAACTTTTTCATTTCTATACTGTTTATCTCCTTTCAGTCAACGTCTTCAGCATTTGTCTACTTATGAACCATGTCAAGTAAATTTCCAGCAAAAACTTGATAACAGGTGAGAGAATACTGTTACATGTCCTTTTAGCAAAAATTTCTTGTCAAAAAATATTGCATGATGACATCCTCTCTGTAGAGTGACTAACTGGGTAACAAATGCCGTTTTTGTCCATGGAAGTATGTTGTTCACCCATTGATTCTCGAGTTTGAGAAAATACATCTAGGATATTGTCTTATGTAAAAGACTCATAAACAGATTCAGCTTATACAGTTCATTTCCCCGTCATCTTTAGAGTCTGGAGTACTGCTGTCTGTCTTTTTGTATTTGTGTTCTTGTGTGTCTAACAGTTGCAAAATATCTTGTATCAATTTTCTTCTCTTTGCCATTATAGACAGAAAATGAAAAAGCCTGAATTCTCAGCTGTGTTCAATGAAAGGTTAAAAAGAAAAAGACTATGAAAATCCTGTCTTCTAAGGTCTTTTTTAACTTCTGGGAAGATCAGATAATATGCTGGGCCATGCAGTAAGAAAACTGAAGGATGATGAAATAGTGATGATTTATTTCACTGTTTCATCATCCCTCTAGATGATCACATCGTTTTTAAATTTTCTTTTTTTTTCTGTAAAAGCCTTAAGTTCAAAATGGTTATCAGAAAATAATTTAACTGTATAATTAATAGAGTATTATAGAGGCAATACAGAATAATATTAAACAGATTAAGTTCTCTGACAACAGTCATGAACTCCAGGATTGCACAGGACAATTGAGTGATCATTGATATAATCTCCATTCCAGATGACCACGTGGTGTAGTTGATATTTAGGGTTATGGAATTAGAGAAGAATGTTGATTGTAGGTATTTAAAATCCTCTCCTCCTTCTTTTTTCGTCCTTTGAGTTCCTTCTGTCTCAGTTGCCTCTCCTCCCAGCTCAGACTGACTCATTTCAGTAATGCTTTTATGAGCAGACTAGTCCCTCTCACCCTCTTGTCGCTTCCCAGCATCCACCTTGCCAGCCCCAACTCTAGATAGATTTGAATCTCTTCTACCTCCCATTGCCCACTGCTGGGTTGGCAGATATTTCTCGGAGAAAGTCATAAAACCAGGCTGAGTTGCCCATTACGAGGGTGGAGAGATTCCAAGTTCACACACAGTTCAAATTGGGAGAGAATCAAGAGAGTTCAAGTCCTAGCACTGTCTTGCAAGTGATGGAGAATTAGTTATTAGTAGAGCTAAAAGCAAGAGCTCAATTTTCCTGACTTTTATTTCAATGTTTTCCAGCATAGTGAGCTGAGAAGTAGGCAAACTGAGGTGAAAATTATATAAAATACGAGAGAAGAGAAAAAGCATTAAGGTGGCATAAAGTCCTGTAAGGGAACTATTCTTTCTCGACACGCCCTCCCCCAGCTTTATTGAGGTATAATTGACAGATAAATTGGTAAGATATTTAACGTGTACCTCATGATGCATTGATATACATGTACATTGTGAAAGGATTCCTCCCATTTAGTTAATTAACATATCCATCACCTCACATATTTACCTTTTTTTATTTTTTGGTAAGAACATTCATTTAAGTTCTACTTTCTTAGCAAATTTCAGTTATACAATATCAACTATAGTCACCATGTTATACATTATATCCTCAGACTTTATTCATCTTACAGCTGAAAGTTTGTATCCTTTTACCAACCTCTCCCTATTTCTCCCACCCCCTACCCTCTGGCAATTACTTTTCTATTCTCTGTTTCTATGAGTTTGACTTTTTTTTTTTTAAGATTCCACATATAAGTGAAATGATACAGTATTTGTCTTTCTGTGTCTGATTTATTTCGCTTAGCTTAATGCCTTCAAGGTCCATCCCTGTTGTCGCAAATGGAAGAATTTCCTTCTTGTGACTGAATAATATTACATTGTGTGTGTGTGTATGTGTGTGTGCGCGTATATACACCACATTTTCTTTGTCTATCCATCGGTGGACACTTAGGTTGTTTTTGTGTCTTGGCTATTGTGAATAAGGCTGGGATGAACATGGAGGTGCAGATATCTTTTTGAGATAGTGATTTCGTTTTCATTGACTATATACCCAGAAGTGGCATTACTGGATCATATGGTAGCTATATTTTTAATTTCTTGGGGAGCCTCCATACTGTTTTCCTTAGTGGCTGCACCAATTTACATTCCCACCAGCAGTGCGCAAGGGTTCCCTTCTCTCCACATCCTTGCCAGCATTTATCATCGCTTGTCTTTTTCATAATAGCCATTCTAACAGGTGACAAGTGATAGCTCCTTGTGGTTTTGATTTGCCTGTCCCTTAGGATTAGTGATGTTGAGCACCTTTTTGTGTACCTGTTGGCCATTTGTATGTCTTCTTTGGAAAAACTTAAATTTTCTTATTAGCTCCTTTTTAGCATAATGGGAAATAATTCTCAAGATTGTGAAAAAGCGTAATGTTTCAAGGTATAGGAAAAATAAGATCACTGAGACAAAACACAAAAACTAAACTTGGGTCCAATAACCCTGAGGATTAAAGTTAGTTGTGCATCTATCTTATCTCTTTTCTAGATTCTCTGTGATTAAAGAGCAAGTTATAATGATGTCATAATGATCTTTGCATCTCATCCAGTGGCTTCTATGGTGCATATTTACTGTATGAGAATTAAAGGACAGTTTTCAAAAAAAGTAACATCATGACTTTCATACAGATATAAAATGAGCAAGTGTTAAGGATTTAGTTTTACTCAGTTAAATGAGGGAAACAGGCAGATTTTATAAACTGTTCAAAGGACAATCCAAAGAACAGACACGTGTGTAGATTAGGAATATTGAAATTAATATGCAAATAGAGGCAAAACTAGCTTCTCCCACAGTGAAAAAAGGAAGTCAGTTGAACCTGACAGGACAGAATTTGCCTCTTCATAGGCAATAACTTTGCATTGCTATCAGTTACTGGCAATTTGAAAAGCTGTAGAATAATTCCCGTAGAATCAGAATCAGGTAATTCATGAAGTGTGAGCTCTAGATCTAAGCAATGCACAGTTTTCTACTGAAGCACAACTTTTCCCCTACACATGTTGTGTCCAATTCAATTATGAAAATAAAGCATATAAAGAGAACTTCATGTTCAGTGTGATAAGTAAATAGCACTTTGCCGTTTGCAGCTATCGTATTTTCGTATTTTTAAATATTTATGAGTGTTATGAAACATATACATTTTTAGAGTAAAAAGATGAAATATTATTCAGACAAGTTTACCTCCTTTCACCACATCTGTCAGGATATTTTCAAGATTTTTTTTGTTAGAAAAATTATTCAGTGGCTTTGTTTCTTTTGTCCCACTAAAAGAATAAACCAAATTCTTCATGTAAACTTCTACCAGCCAAATTGAAAGGATGACCAAGGGAGATGAAAATTCTATCATTCAAATGCTCAAGGAATTGTCTTCAAGACAAGCCGTTTTTTGGCTTAGAGAATATGCACGAATAATTTGTTAATGTGTAGAATCTAGCCCTACTGGTTAGCACTTATTAAGAGTCTCTGGACATGTGTAAACAACCCTGGCTTGGTCCAGGGACGTGTTGCACTTCTTATCCCTACCTTCAGTTTTTATCTCCTTCCTTGGCTTGACAGCTGTCTCTTTTTATATTAGTGGCCATGTGTTCACAGGGTCACAGCCTTAAAATGTTCAAATAGGGAAACAAGATTCCTTAAGGGATCAGTGATCAGAGACAAGATCTGCAAGGGTGCCTTAGCAGCTTGACTATCAAGCTTTAGTCATGTAAAAAGCTGGATGACATGAAGGGCAGCTGCAACTAGTAAGGAGGAAAAAAAGAAATAGCTACGAGGCCAAGAATACTTTACCTGCCTTTACCTTAAGCTTTAATTTTCAAGATCAGACCTACATGGATAGGAGATAATATCACAGTTTGTAGAGCTTATCTGAACATAGTAGCAATTTTCCTTGTTCAATTTTCACCTGCCTGCCTCCATGGTGAGGTAGGAACACTGATTCTTGGCAAAGGGCAATCTATAAGGTCACTCACGGGAAGACCAGTTGGGTTAGAGGGAGAAGTGGACAGAGGTCATTTACTTCTCATCTGTGTTTCGTCGTCTTCCTCACCAGTAGCTGGTGCTGGATGTGGAGATCAAAGTTATTGATCCTTAGAAGCCTTTCCTTGGTGATTTCAGCAGACTAGTTTTAACTCCTTCTGATTCCTGAGTAGCTATAGAGATGGAAGATGGTTTGGCATAATCTTCGTTCGCCTCTCACCTGTGTTAATCCTGAGGGTACATTTTAGATAGACCACACCAGGCAACATGCTCTAGGACAATGGATCCTCTATAAATATTTTTTAATGCTACTCACATAAACATTTTCAAAATGGCAAGTTAACACGTAGTTCTTACTAATTCAGTAATAAAGCAATAATTCAGTGTTAATATTAATTCAGTAATACAACAATAGGGAGGTATTTTAATACTATCTTCATAGAAAGTCAGATACTACCAACGTTATTATTTGCATGAAAGGTAACTCAGTCATGGTAACTTCAAAGCTTTGAATAACCCATTTGGCTAAAAAATAATAATAATAACTCACTTGGCTAAAACTAGGATAGCATCTTTTAATCGAGCCGTCTTTTTGCCTCCAGCTTGCAAACAACCAGTATAAATCTGGAACTGTTATCTAAGCTTCTTCAGTCCAGTTCATCAGTCATGCCACTGAAATTGATTCTTGACCTCTGTACATCTTTCTTTCCTTTGAAATTTCTCATGCTGTCTCTTCCTTCTATGTTTTAACAGAGAGCTTTGTGTGATAAAATAAGAGCTAGTCACCTTTTTATTTTGCAGTCCTTATTTATATACCTAAGGTATTTTTTTATACCACAGTATTTTTATTATATATTGAAATAATCTCATATATTGTTTTGGTGTTTAATCCACCTCTCCAGATAAGAAATTATTGCTTCACTTATCAAATAATCATGGTGAAATTCCTCTTAAAATTTCTTGTGCTTCTGGCCAAATCTTTAATAGTAAAAAAAAATCTCAACATACA